CCTAATCGTTATGAGAACACTCATTATATTGTCTTGATATTTGTTCTTTGATGTCCAATTCTTCATGGGTTACCTCATATAATGTGATATCCTGATTCGGTTAGGATGTTTTACCTAAGATGACCTGGAGTACTTAGTATCATAAACCGCTATCAGGTAGTCTCTCATACTTCTATGACCAAACGAGTGCGATCCCGAATGGTGAAGTGAAAGAGTGCAACAATGTTGTGGATTTCAAAATTCGGTGGCACGAAGGTCTTGTATAGTATCGGAAACATTTCATGAATCAGTATCGCATCGGACGAAGTAGAGTTTTGCACAAATTTTTGATGGATCTCACTGATACCTGTCACTAGCGACCAGGATGTCTGTTGGTAATATACCTAGGTTGCACTCAGATGAAGCCTTAGAGGGTAAGCAATTGGTTTGATTCTTCTATATTGCCGGTAATGACCCCTTCTTAAGGTTACGAGACGTCCAGTGTCAAACTACTGTTTCGTTTTCACACTTTTGTTAATGATATTTCTTTTTGACTTCATATTTACTGGTTCTCCATGACTTAATACCCTTCGCATGGATAATGACTGATGAACTGAGGTTTTCTGGGAGGTCGGTGATAAATATGAAAATCAAAAGGTTGTCCAGGATTGTACTGTAGTGAAATACTTTTATGAAGAGAACGCGATTGGTATAATAGAAACAATTATTATTATAAACAACTGTACAAGTGATTGTTTTATTGTACCCCTTTGTTTAAGTGTACCAGAGCATTACGAATTAGCAGCGTCAATACGCCTGCGCTCTGGAAACCCTACCTGGGGATCATATCGACGCTGTCCGTGAGGTAGTCTTCCATTCCAATGTACATAACGGCTACGATTGTCTCAAGGAGGTGACTCTCAGGCATTTCCTCCCATCGGAGGAGGAACGTTTGCAGACATTATTAGCACGTCACTTCGTGGGTGATGCTAAACCGAGCCACCACCTAACGCGCCTGTAATCTTAAGCAGGACCCACGACAGCCAATTCCAAAATAGTTAAAGGATTGTGACTCATATACAACATACGGTTACGGCTCTGCTCGAGGATACACTACTTACCCAGGTTGACCTCATAGCAAACAAGATATTAGCGAGGACTAGCACTCGCGACAACTATGCTGTTGTCTCATCGTCACCCTCAACCATAGATCCTGACGCTGGTCGCCTTCCAGCTCAAGGTGATTGGGGTTCCCATATACGTAGTCGTCTCGGTTTCCGAGGACGTTCCAACATACCAAAGCCCTACGTCGCCCGACCCGGGTCGTAACTACTCGCTCTAAGCGGGCAACCTCTAGGCCACGAGAAAAGGCGATTTCTGAAGCGATTGCTGATTCCACAGTGCCTTTGGGGGCCGGCTCCCGCCATTGTCAAGCCTCTGCTCATACAAGGCGCGAAACTCCCGCGCGGGCGAGTAAATATGGCCATACTCACTGTCCCCTCACCTCATGTTGGTGGCTTATTTTATGTGCACGACTATCGCACTAACTCCAGGTACCTAGCAGATACAAGTTCCCAAGTTTCGTACCGATTGGTAACAGTACGTCTCAAGCTACAATGCTTCGACTACGCTCTGCGGATAGCTCAGTCATTCCTACTTATGGTACACGACAGCTTACGGTCAACCTGAGCAACCGATGACAGTATCTGCGGACGTTCATTACTACCTATGTTCCCACAGCCGTACTCGGTATCGATTTCCTAAAACACTATGAATTGCTAGTCGACTCACTCAGGCTGCAGCTTATCGATACTTCGTCGAACAGTAAATTCACGGGCTTTAGAGCTCAGAAAAAAGCGTAACGAATCTTAGGCGTATTTTGCTTGCGTGACGATATATTCCACGCTTTATTCTAGAAATTCCGTCAACTAACTAAACCTTTCGAGGGGATCCCATCGGTAACCGATCGTGTGGTACACCACATAGTCACTCGCGGACCCCCCAAGTCACAGCAAAGACAAGCCAACTAGCACCGGACAAAATAGCCTTCGCTAAACGTCAGTTTGACAAATTACTAGCTGTTGGTATCGTTCGTCACTCTAACAGTCTCTGGGCCTCATCTCTCCACACGGTTAGGATGGAGTTGGTTGGAGACTATACGGCGACTATCGAGCATTAAAAGTAGCTACACGTTTTGATAGTCACCCCATCCCCCACGTGCAAGACATCACGGCATCGCTTGAGAGCACGACTATTTTTTCTGAGATCGATCTCGTACGAGCATATCATCAGATCCCAGTCGTTCTTGAAGATATCAATAAAACCGCTGTCAACACGCCTTTCGGTCTGTTTGAGTCCCTACGAATGCCATTTGGATTGCAGAATTCTGCTCAAACTTTCCAAAGGTTTATCGATAGCACAGTACGAGACTTAGATTTTGTTTACGTCTATATTGATAGTCGGCTAATTGCATCATCAAACGTAGATAAAGATTATCGGCATCTAACACTCCTATTCCAGCGCCTTTCGGATAATGGAGTAATGTTCAACCCGGACAAGTGTGAACTTTGCAAATCGGAAATAAAATTCTTAGGTTACATTATCAAACAAGAGGGTATTTTACCTCGTGAGGACAAAGTACATGCAATAAGAGAGTACACTGTAACGTCTACACTCAAAGAAGTGAACAACTGAAGGCATCTAAACAATTTCGCAGTTCGCCGCACCACTACTTATGATTCCGGCTTACGTTTTATAGCCTAACCGCACATTTTTTGAATAATTTCTCGTATTGAAACTATCGACTCTTTAAATGATACGGCTAATTTAATTGACAACGTCCTGTAGACTCAAAACACTATGAATACTTAATCTTGAAGAAATATATAGATCGCAACTGTTCAAAACGTGAACCAAAAACGCATTTATTTAATAATAATACTATGAAAGATTTTGTCACTAACGATCTCAAGTGAAATAATTTTAACATGTACGATCTAAAAAAGTCAGAGTTCTTTGAAAAATATGCGTCTTCATACTCATCATAGTACCTCAAATCTATCTCCTCGTGAACACAAAATAGTTGCTATATTAGCTCAGCGGAAATTTGTAAAAAATGCACTAAGTTTTGAACGTTATTAATTGAGAGATAAGCTTGGAGAATAGATATTCTTTTTTTCGTTTCGTCGACAACTTTCTCAGCAATTGTAACGGAAAAATAATAATATAATTTATCATGTTTTCGGGATCTATACTACAGATGCCATATTCTGACTCTTAGTCGAATTTATTGAGTTTATTGGTTCTCGATATTTACAGCATTCGATTGGAATAGTCATTAGATAAAATAGTCGTTAGTTATGATAAACTCAGACAAAGTAATGTCAACTGTTGTATTATTTTTAAAAATTATATAGTTCGTATTGACTGAAAAATGAAGAGCGGGTGAGAGAAATTTGATATTTGTTAGTGAAATATCTCGTGACACACGAACAATTCCCTAGAACTCATTACATAACCAATACACTAAGAAGTGATCTGCAAAATGTTGAAAAACTGCGATCGAATAGCTGACACGTCATTTTACAACACAATTCCCTTAAACATCTTCCTGGGGTTGAGTCGTACAACATCACACCATGTGACTGAAAGTAAATTATGGGAAATAAGGAAGTAAGCCATGAAGACATGGACGCTCTCACTTTACCAAGCAATCCAGTTTTAAACCCGGAGCTCCAGAAACATGAATTCCAAAGTTTGAGCGTTACTTATTAAGTCCATGATTCAAGAAACTCCAGTATATCCGTAAACTCCCTCAGTGACTTTGTAGTGTCAGTTATTATGGCAAGCCCATATACCTTATTCTAACTTGCGGACATTCTAATTTAATTCATTTTACTTGAGCCATATTTTGACCTTGTCAATTATTCGCTTATTAGCCTTGACTGTTTTTATATGAGCGTATATGTGTGTACACTTCATGTTCCATGACCCATCACATGTCTGTGGTTTATTTTTGCTGCCTATAAATATGGAGTAATGCCTAGCTTGTGGTGGTTCCCAAACAAGAGGAGCTTATACAAAATATATTGGTACACTAGGTTAATGATGATATACCAAAAAAAAACTAATAGTAAAGAAACCTAGATGTCTGTCCGTTAGTAAAACCAAAAGGTAACAAAATATTGTTAGCAATACAAAAGGTATATTAAACAAACAGACACTAACAGTTACTATAGAATGAATGTTACTTGTGAACTTCCTCGTGAGAACAACGACCACAAACCGAGTTCACTTGATTGACAGGTGTTCTTCTGCAAGCGACTGCACCAATGACGTAATGAGGAAGACGTAGTCCAATAGTATTATACAATAGTAATCCGCGCCAAAAACCCAACGTTGCGTCGGAAGGCCTATAATGATGTTATAAATACTATTATAGTCTTCAATCAAACGGTGGCCAATAAAACAGAAGAACAAGCGGCGTAGATAGTGCTCTATATTTTAAACAACGCGGTAGTAGAATCGTATATCATTCATCGAAACAATTATCATTGTCTTTTTTAACAAGTGATACAGCAAAACAACAGATATTGAGTAAGAATGTGGTTACAAATAAAGTGTGACAAATTAGAGAAAAAATGTGGTTTTTATTTTTGTTGTTACAAAAATCACTGAATATATGTCACCATATAACTCCCCCCCTCAGGGCATGCGTCGGTGGAAGTATGCCCGACGTAAAACTATAAATGCTTTGGAGGGAAGAGAAAATTACACAACGAAAAGGGTAAACAAATGTTATTTTTAAAAAAATTATACGTGTGTACATATTTAAGAAAAAAAAATGTTTCTCTTGTAGTAAACAGATTTTAATGTATATAAAAAGTTTAACAATGATAACGGAGTGTATAATAATAATAATAATAATAATAATAATAATAATAATAATAATAATAATATCATTAGTAATAACGGTAATCAAATTGAGAGTTCATCGAAAATTGTAAATTCATGTATAAATTGTGCAAACAATTAGTGATAAACTGAACAAGTCCAACGAAATTGGATATATTTGCACTATTAATAATAAACATCATATGAAACGCAAACACATGTAGAGAAAAACATAATGAATTTATTAATGTTAGTAGTACACAAGAAAAAATTTTTTTAGAAAAAAAAATGCTTGCATAAAAAAAATGTTATTAGTAACTCTGCTAATATGGATATTCAATCACACTACAGGTAATGACAGAATAAAGATTAAGTAATTAATTCAACATAACGTTTAGGAAAATGTACATGTCTTCCTGAACGAGTTGTTTTCGTAGAAGGTAAAGTGTCGGAACTAGGATTTAAATTTGTGGGAACTGTAACCTTAGAACCATTTGTTTTACGAAATATTGACTTCGTAGAAGTTGATGAAGAATCATTTGGAAACACTGGAAGCTGCGTTGTGTGATTGTCACTGTCTTTGGACGGCTTTCGGCTATCATGTGTTTCACAGTAGCACGAATCCCTGGATGGGATAGTGAGTGAAGACAATCAAAAACTCTTTTTCTGTACACTATTGGCACAAAAGGTCTGTGAGTTCCAGTAGAAGTATCACAAATGATAGTAGAGTCAGAATGCGGTATAGGAACACTTTTTAAGGACAAGCTCGAACTTTGTTTACAAACATCAAGGTCAGGATCATCTGTCTGCAAACGTGCCATGTCTGATAAATCGATTCCCTTGGTGAAGGAAATTGCATCGACATTGAAACGTGACAAAGTATCCGCAACAACATTTGACTCACCTTTTATAAACTGTATATTGGTCGAAAATTGGGAAATATAATCCAATTGTCGCATTTCTCTAGGGGAATAACGGTCACTTTTCGCGTTAAAGGCATAGGTTAAAGGTTTGTGATCAGTAAGTATCACAAAGTCTCTGCCTTGCAGTAAGTGGTTAAAATGTTTAACAGCTAGATAAATAGCCAATAATTCTCTACCAAAAGTGCTATATCGAGTCTGGGTTGGTTCTAGCTTCTTTGAAAAGAAGGCAAGTGGTTTGACCTCATTATTAACCCGCTGTTGTAGTACCGCACCTACTGCTGCCTGGGATGCGTCTGTACACAGGATCAGTGTTGCTTCTGGACCAGGGCTTAAGTAGGTCAGCATGGTAGTAGAAGCGATTGCTGTTTTAGCTGCAGAAAAGGCATCTTTCGCTTCGGAGGGTAATGTGAACTTTTTGACTTTACCTTTTAACACCTCCGTCAAAGGTTGTAGAATGGCTGAGCAATGTGGAATAAAACGACGATAAAAATTGATCATCCCCAAGAAACGTCGAAGTTTATTCCATGAGTCTGGTTCTGGAAAATTCTTGATGGCTTCTATTTTTGTATCTAAAGGTTTAATTCCACGTTTGTCGATCAAGTGACCTAAAAACTCTAAGCTCTCAACTCCAAAAATACATTTGGATGGGTTAATCACTATGCCATATTTGTGAAATCTTTCGAATAATTGATGTAGGTGATCAATGTGTTCATGGAGCGAACTGCTAGCTATTAATACATCGTCAATATACACGAAAACAAAATCTAGGCCTTTAGTGACCTCATCCATAAATCGTTGAAATGTTTGTGCGGCGTTCTTTAATCCAAAAGGCATTCTTAGGAATTCAAACAAACCAAATGGGGCAATGATGGCTGTTTTTGCAATGTCCTCGGATGCTACTGGAATCTGGTGATACGCTCGCACAAGATCGATTTTAGAAAAAATTTGCTTGCCATGTAAAGTGAGAGAAAAATCATGTAAATGAGGAATTGGGTAGCGATCCGGTAACGTTATGTTATTCAATGACCTATAATCACCACTAGGTCGCCAATCTTGGTCTCGCTTGGGCACCATGTGGAGTGGGGATGCCCAGGGGCTACTTGACGGACGTATTATACCTAGCTGCATCATATGATCAAACTCAGCTTTTGCAACATTCAGTTTGTCCGGTGGTAATCGGCGTGGACGTGCCGAAGTTGGTTGGCCTTTTGTGATGATCCGGTGTACAACAGAATGTTGGACCGCGTTTTCACTGTAGTCCGGTTTCGTTATTTTGGGAAATTTAGATAAAATAGTGACGAATATATCGTTTCCTGGAGTGTCGATTTTAATACTATGTATGTGGTAGTCCGACTGAATTCCCAGGACTTGAAGCTTCGTACAGGAATCGATAAGTTTTCTTCTCTTAACGTCAACTAGTAGGTTGTAGAAGCTTAGAAAATCTGCACCTAGTATAGGGTGGCGGACATCCGCAATAATGAACACCCAGGTTAAATGACGTCTAATTCCCAAGTCTAATGTTAGAAATTGTTCGCCAAATGTCTTTATTTCGGTTTTATTGGCTGCGCTTAGCGTATATTTTCCACTCTTAGCAATAGGTTTATTGGCTAAGGTAACTGGGATGACACTGACTTCAGCTCCAGTATCTACTAAGAATTTGTACCCTGAAGTTTTATCAAGAACATGGAAAAGACGAGTAGGCGCATGACCAGAAACATTTGTCGCTACCATTGTTTGGTTGACACGTTTTGATGAGGAAAATGACTTGAAGAATTTACAAGACGTAACACATTTCCTAGCTTTGTCACCATATTTTTTATGGTACCAACATATGTTGTCGTCGTTTTTATTTCCTTTTGAGTTATCTCGATTCTTACTCCCTCGAGAACTAGAGCGAGGTCTTGTAGATGTGAAATTGGAGATTAATAATTGCAATGCATCCAGTTTATTTTCAAGACTAGCGACAGTTCGTTCATGATGTGCTCGTAGTTCGCCTAGTTCAGCAGTTAACGATGCTATGGTGGGAGTTTGCTTATCGTTCGAAGTTTCTAATATTGTCTGTACGCAAGGTATAGTACAGGATAACTTCTAAAATATTATCGGCCATGCTAGCAAGACTTTCTAAATCTGATGGTTGGCTAGAAGCGCAAAGAATTTGCCTAACTACAGTTGGCAAGCGTTGTAGCCAAATCTCCTTGAGGAAAGCATCATCAAATTTATAAGGGCCAGCTAATTGTCTCATGTGTCGTAATAATTGAGACGGTGATTTGTCGCCTAGCTCACATTCGTGCAGTAGTTGCTGTAATCTCTTTTCATCCGATAATGAGGTACGTTGAATAATTGCCTGCTTCAATTGATCATATGGATTAGATGCAGGAATATTGTCTATCAAATCTGACACCTCAGATGCAACTTCAGTGGGTAGTAATCCAAGCACAAAAGAGTATTTAGATGCCTGTGAGCGTATGTTGCGACGCTGAAATTGTACTTCTACTTGCGCAAACCAAATGCGAGGATTTAATCGGCTGAATGGGGGCACATTTATCAAATTTAGAGCGTGTAGCTCTGCTGAAATGTTATCCTGACTAATGCCTTCGGTTTCGGATGAGTACATTACAAATATACGAAAAATTAAATACTACCAAGGGTAAATTAACGCCGTAATGTCTGTAAGTGAACTCAAAAGTAGTTTCGAGAGAGAAAAAATTTTTTTTACGGGCTCACCAAATTTGTGGTGGTTCCCAAACAAAAGGAGCTTATACAAAATATATTGGTACACTAGGTTAATGATGATATACCAAAAAAAACTAATAGTAAAGAAACCTTAGATGTCTGTCCGTTAGTAAAACCAAAAGGTAACAAAATATTGTTAGCAATACAAAAGGTATATTAAACAAACAGACACTAACAGTTACTATAGAATGAATGTTACTTGTGAACTTCCTCGTGAGAACAACGACCACAAACCGAGTTCACTTGATTGACAGGTGTTCTTCTGCAAGCGACTGCACCAATGACGTAATGGAAAGACGTAGTCCAATAGTATTATACAATAGTAATCCGCGCCAAAAGTCCAACGTTGCGTCGGAAGGCCTATAATGATGTTATAAATACTATTATAGTCTTCAATCAAACGGTGGCCAATAAAACAGAAGAACAAGCGGCGTAGATAGTGCTCTATATTTTAAACCACGCGGTAGTAGAATCGTATATCATTCATCGAAACAATTATCATTGTCTTTTTTAACAAGTGATACAGCAAAACAACAGATATTGAGTAAGAATGTGGTTACAAACAAAGTGTGACAAATTAGAGAAAAAATGTGGTTTTTATTTTTGTTGTTACAAAAATCACTGAATATATGTCACCATAAGCTTGAAAGGGAGTTGGCTTCCCAGCCATCTTCCTTACGCGTCATTTTGCTCTGTTCTATTACATTCACTTTACATACAAAATATATGTATTCAAAGGCCATTCTCGTTAAATGACTTATCTAAATTCCGTTATTGACTAACGTGATTTAAGTCGACGATGATATACGAGAAAAGGTGATAACAGTCATTTATGCGATCTCAATGGAGTCAGATCCACGGGCCACAAAAACTTCTTACAAGTTCGAATAGAGCAAAAGGACAAAAACGTTCTCTTAACACTCTTGACAAAGCGTAAAAAGTATACGAGGGTAATAAGTAGATCATTATCACTAAGGAACAATGTTTTACAAAAATAAAACGGACATAATTTTCAAATTTGCCCTAAAAGTGAGCAAGCGGATGAAAACTAATTGTTATGCAAAAGTTAACCTTCAGGTAATAAATTTAAACTCTGTCAAAACACAGGGTACTAGTTTCAATCTTAGTAATTTAAAACAAAAGCAATCGGCCCACGTGGCCATAACTGAGGTAGAGAAATCCAATATAACAAACCACATTAGACCGTTTTAAGCAAAACAAGGGTGAAGAAAAGGAGTTCTTGTTTTATGTCCCTCAATACATAGCAAACATTCATTTCAGATTAGGTAAATGATCTGCTGTTTTATATATATATAGTTGATTTGTTACCCATAACATAATAGCAAAATCTATGACTAAAGTAAGGCTAGTGATCAGTCTCCAGGTTCATATGAAATAAAACAGTCGTCGTCAGTAAAATGGAACTATCATCACGATCGATTGAAATCACTATATATAACATTGCATTGTGATATTCGAATCCTAGGTTACATCACGAGTTGGATGGTGAGTGAGATTTGCCAAAGGCTGTCACACCTGTTGCGACGAACGAAATTCTAACATCTAGTCCAAACACATGATTGTTCAACCAATAAGCTTTCATTTCGTTGGTGTTAAGTCTAAATTCTGTTTTGATCCGCTAAAGAAGCACGGTCTATCGATATAAACGTAATTTACAACCCATATAACGAAACGACCAAATTACAATTCAGGAACCATAAGTTTATTTTTAAACTACGAGAAATCATTCCGAACATATTTTCTTCAACCTTCAGATTTTCGGGACAAAATTTCTGGAGTATTGAGCCAAAATAGTGTGTTATCGAAGATGTTCGAGGTCACAATTATAAACGAATTCTTTCAAAGCTTGAGTAAAATAAAGATATTGGTAACACTGTGCAATTTATGGTATTCAAAATAACAGTTATCAGTCAGTTAGATACTTTCAGTTTCTTTTGTAACAGTTAGGCCGAATTATGTCATTTTGTGAGGTTGACGAAGACTCTTTGACTCAATCGTTTTAAATTACACAGAAACGGAAACCTTATGCGTGATCCCTATGCGTTTGATGCAAGAAGAAAAAAGCCAAACAACTATATAAAATACCGCTAAAATGAATTTTACACCATACAATCGAAGCCTCTTCTACTACAAAATAGCGTACTATGCGATGAAAATCCCTTAAGTAGCTGGAAACTAGTACTAGTACTCTCAACAAAGTGGAATCAAATATCTATTTGCAAATACTCCATAGATAGATAGCTTTTTCCAGCAGTCAGTGAAAGAATAATAATAACTGACCGCTCCAGCCATAACCCTGAGCGCAGCCGAAAAAGATATCGTTGCCGATATGCCGGCACTTTGCAACAAAACGATTAAAAAACATAGGCACACCTTGACCAGGTTCAAATAACAATGACCTGTTCAAGAAGATCGGGAAATTAAAGAAAAATGTAAATGAAATAGAAGTAGTATAAAACAAAACATTCTGTGGTGTTTCTCGAGGCACAACTTTCTTTATAAACATTGCATTTTGGTTTTCCTCTTGTTGCCTAGTGTCAGTATTCTCCGAATTCGGCGACCATCTACCCGTGCGACAGTCTAGAATGGGCAATGTGCGATGGAAATATTGTTTGTTATGTGATTTTGACAAAACATTAAACGGAAGTAGAAGACGATGGAGGCTTTGAATAACCTCCATAAACAAGGCTGAAATATACATTGACGACAAACTCAACGTGTCTGTACTATCCACGTCCCAGTTGTGAGTGAAGAACTATAATGTTTCGAATTATTTGAATTATAGCACTAACTAAGAGTCCAAGAAATAACGCAATTGAATTAAGAAGTCACAAGCACAAACGAATGTACTGTATTTGGAATTCGAAATTGTGCATTCAACATGCACAAAAGTATCATTAGTCAATTCAAACACCACAAGTACATAGCAACTAAATGCGACTGAAATAACAACTACTGAGTTACACGTGCTACCCTCGTCAGACACGCACTTACTGACCAGAAATCTTCCAAAAACTGTGTCTTGAGCTTTTTTGCAATTTTTTCAAGCGCTATTTATAATGATAATATATATTCTTAGATAAAGATATGTTACGCAAGGCATGGCACTTTACGGAAAAGATTGAACTGTTACAATTGCTATAGGCTTTATTTTAATAATTTACTCAATTAAGTTGAAGTGTTATGGGCCACATTGGTTACGTTAGCCTCCACTTCTCGGAAAAACGTTTTTGTTGGTCTTCTTCTCTTTTTTTATC